GTTTGTTCTGGCTAATCCTCCTCTACTGAATTCTAGATGCCAGGTTGCTGTGGAAGCATGAATGAAAACGGCCCTCACAGGCTCGTGTGTTTGAAAGCTTGGCTGCCAGTTGGTGGCGCTATTTGGGAGGATTAGGAGGGGGAGGCTTGTTGGAGGAGATGTGCCCCTGAAGGCAGGCTTGAGGTTTCAAAAGATGTGTGTGATTCCCAGCTCTCTCTCTGCCTCATGATCATGGACCCAGCTGTTGACCCAACAGAACTCTGTTGACCTTCTGCTCTACTACCGTGTTTCTAGCCCTCTGAAATCATAAGCCAAACTAAGTGCATCCCTTTTGTTCTGGTGGGAGCTCCACCTCAGCCCCTGGCTCCCTGGCGTCCCTATACCCAGAGTCTGAAATGTTCTGGTGGAAGGTCCACCTCAACTCCCCTCCCCCATCTCTTTCCCTAAACCCTGCCCTGTCTCAAGCCCACCAAACATGGCTCCTCCCCCAGAGATGCTCAAGACCACTCCCACAGGGTATTTTAACTGCATCCCAGAAAACAGACACATGGTTTTCTGGTCTCTCGTCCCTGTCTATTCTCTGGGGCGCCAGAGAATCACTAAGGAATGCATTACCCATTAAACTGGGGCTTTTCTAATTTGGTCTGATTTTGTTTGAGTTGGATTGCTGCGTGGGCAGAGAGGCTTATGAGGTGCAAAACCTTTTCACTCTTACCAGCTGCCTTGGTCTTGATGTTTTATCACTTCTATAAAAAGTCACTGAGACAGAAACTGGTACCAGGAGTGGGGTATTGCTGTGACAGACTTGACCATGTAGGTTTTTGGGAGAAATATGGAAGATCTAGGATTTTGGACTAAGAAAACAGTTGAATGCTATAAGTAGGGCTTAATTTTCCATCCTAGCAGAAGCTTGGGAGACAGTAGTACTGAAAGCAATGTGGATTTTGGAGGTCCAGCTCAAGAGGTTTCGGAGGGGAACAATATTAGCAACTGGGCAAGAGGCCTTTTTTGTGATATTTTGGCAAAGAATGTGGCTGCTTTCTGCCCATGTCCTAAGAACATGCCTGAGGCTAACTTGGAAAGTAATGGACTAATTTCTTTGGCAGAAAAGGCTTCATGACAGCCTAATTTTGACTCTGTTGTGTGTCTGATAGTATATACTCTTACATAGGTCTATAAGTGAAAAAGAACGAGGAGGGCAAAAAGAAATACAAAATGTATGGTTTGAAAGGAAAAATGGCACCAGGAAATTAGATGCTGGAGCCAATGCTTGTGCTGAAAGAGAAAAGGAGAGCAAGGAGAGAGGACCGCTACCAAGTGGAATAAAGCGGGAAGTGCCCTCAGGGAAAGACCCCACCCAGCTAAGCTTCCAGCTTATTAAAAGAAAAGGCCCGAGGAGTTTTTTAGTCCTAAAAAGAAACAACGAAGAGAGCTGCTGCTAACGGCTCTGCCCTAAGCGGGAAGTTGAATTTGGCAGTGTTGGGTACATGGTTATGAATCTAGAGTCGGGAAGGACACTTGAGTCAAGGGGCTGTGGAATCTTCCTCCCTGGTTAAGGAGAGCCAGTGAGGCCAGACATATGGCAGGGAGTGTCTGCATCAAGGCCTTGAGAGGCCGTGGTGTGAGGCCCTGACAGTGAAGTCTTGATTGCCTTGGAGACTCCCGGATGTTGGAGATGTGAGAGCCAGGGATATCTGCCGAGGAGAGCTGCAGACAGGGAGAGGACCCAGTCCAAGAGAGAGAGTGTGCTGTAGGCAGCAACCCTTCGACGTCATTCGTGGAGCTACATCGGGTTCCCCTGCTGGGTTTGGGTCTTGTTTTGGCCCAGTATTTACTAACTGTGACCCAATTCCCCCCTTTTGGAATGGTAATATATATTCTGTGTTATTGTATGTTGGAAGTTTGTCATTTTTGGGGGGAGGTTTCAAGACAAGGTTTCTCTGTGTAGCCCTGGCTGTCCTGGAACTCACTCTGCAGACACATCTGGGCTCAAACTCAGAGATTCAGCTGCCTCTACCACCTGGGCTCCAGGATTGAAGGCATGTGTCAGTCTACAGGTTTAAGTAGGGTGTAGTATTATTTCTAAAGTCTCTGTAATAAACAAGCTTGCTGAGGGCCATTTTCCCCTTCAGGTGACTGACAGGCATATTTGAGTGACATCTTTTTTTGTTCTGGTTTTTTGAGACAGGGTTTCTCTGTGTAGCTTTTGCGCCTTTCCTGGATCTCACTCTGTTGACCAGGCTGGACTTGAACTCACAAAGATTTGCCTGGCTCTGCCTCCCGAGTGCTGGGATTAAAGGCATGCGCCGCCACCGCCCAGCAAGTGACATCTTAAGGAGGGCACAATAGTACATCTTTGTTCTTTGTGAGTGCATGTGTGTGTGTGTGCATGTGTGTATGTGCATGTGAATGCGTGTGTGTGTGTGTGTGCATGTGTGTATGTGCATGTGTGTGTACGTGTGTGTACATGTGTGTATGTGCATGTGAGTGGATGTGTGTGTGTACATGTGTGCATGTGCATGTGAGTGCGTGTGTGTGTGCATGTGTGTGTACGTGTGTGTATGTGTGTGTACATGTGTGTATGTGCATGTGAGTGGATGTGTGTGTACATGTGTGCATGTGCATGTGAGTGCGTGTGTGTGTGCATGTGTGTGTACGTGTGTGTATGTGTGTGTACGTGTGTGTACATGTGTGTATGTGCATGTGAGTGCATGTGTGTGTGTGTGTGTGTGTGTGTGTGTGTGTGTGTGTGTACATGTGTGTGTGTGAGTGCATATGGAGGCTAGAGACAAACTTGGCCGTCGTCCTCAAGTGCCAAAGTGCCATCCACCTTGTCTTTTGAGACAGGGTCTTCCGTTGGCCTGGAGTATGGCCCCAGTATGTACCCATCCCCACCCCAGCTTTGAGAAGATGTGCCGCTGAGCCTGGGTCCCAGAGCTCCGTCCTCATGCGTGTAAGGCAAGCACCGAGGCTTTTCAATGTTTAAATACAATGTAAAGAGTTGCTGAAATGCCAACAGAGGAGGGCTGCTTGCATGCACCTCACCCTGCCCTGCCGGGGGTCTGTCCTCCGAAATAGCCCGCCAATCCCAGCTCCCACCAACCCAGCCCGTCCTCAGGGGCCAGTGCCTCTGTGCCACCCCAAATAGATTCTCATGGAATCACTCCACCAAGTTACTGCTTCGTATTCCATTTTCTACTTTCATTTTTGGTGGCCAAACCCATTGCTTCCTCAAATCCACTTCCAGATGATTACACCGTTCAGTGTCCCGAAACACGCCCTTGTTAGTTAAAAACCTGCTGATTTGCCAAAGAAATTGTCCTAGGCTGTGGGTCAGAGCAACGTGCCTGTGGAAGCTGAGTTGCTTAGAAATGACCCTGCAGGCCTGACCGGGGCACTGCTGAGTTGAGATCTCTGCCGGGCAGGATGTTCATTCCAGGGTTAGGCTGCTGGCGGGGGAGGAGGGCTGGGACCTGCAAATGTGGTCAAAAATCAGTTTGGCTTTGGTACAGCTTTGGAAATCCCTCAAGCTTTTGATCGTGAACAGGCTTTGGATCAAGACTGAAGTAAAAAAATTGCATGTCCATAGGAAAACAGTTCTAAAATCTGGCCTTCATCCTGCCTCTCCCTGGAGGCCCTCCGGTGAGGTATGTGAAGTAGGGATGACTGTCCAGCAGGAACAGAGTCAAACTGAAGTTGTTCAGTCCTCTCTGCTGTCCGTGAGTCTGGAGCTCGAGAGCCTGAGATGTGCCTGAGACTTTCCCTGGCGGGGACGGCACAGCCCTCTTGACTAGCTGAAAGCAGGCTGGAAGAGATTGAGAAGGTCGAAGTCACCCGAAGAGATGAAGTGGCTGCTGCTTGCGTGAGAGGACAGGCAAGGGACTCTCATCCTGGTGGTGGTGGCATATTACATATTACATACTACATATTACATATTACATATTACAGGCTCATATTACAGCTCTGAGCCTCTCACTGTTTTCAACACTGAGTCCAGCCTGGGATTCTGGAAGCAGCTCTGGTGGGTGCTGTGCACTCTGGCTAGCTGCGAGCCTGTTGCGTGGCTATTTTTTTTTCTTATCAGATACTGGGGGGGAGGGGGATGCTCACTGTATGTCACATTATACACAGACAGCATGTTTCACTCCTTGTAAGTTGTCATTTTGGTAATTGTTTTAGTTCTCAATAGTCATTCACAGATTGTGCTGCCATTATTGACATCTGCAGTAGTTCTGGAGACTAATGGTCCCAAATGTCTGCGGTGAAAATCACTTTGGTGGTGCCGCCTTGGCTGCTGGAGTTCTAAGGGAGCACCTGGTTTCTTAAATTCTAAAGGTGCCACATTCCTTCGCTTGTGACACCTTCCTGCTTCAAAGTCAGTCTCTGGCTGAGTCCTCACAGCACTTCATTTGTCACCCACTCTCCGGTCTCCCTCCCCTCATTTAAGGTCCCTGTGATCACCCAAATGATCTGAGATATTCTTTTTATTGTACCCAGAGTCCCCCAAAGACCACCAAGAGATCAAATCCAACGCAAAAGCGAAGAGTCTTTCCTACGAGTTAACTCGGAACTCTCCGTCTGTCCAATGCAGCAGGAGAGACCCTGAATAGCAATGGGGCAGGGTTTTTGTTTTTGTTTTTGTTTGTTTGTTTGTTTTCCAGACAGGGTTTCTCTGTGTAGCTTTGCGCCTTTCCTGAATCTCGCTCTGTAGACCAGGCTGGCCTCGAACTCACTTAAGATCCTTCTGGCTCTGCCTCCCGAGTGCTGGGATTAAAGGTGTGTGCCACCACCTGGCCGGGGCAGGATTTTTAAAGCAAGGAGGGCTTGGGATCTACAGACTACGTAGAAACAGACTCAGGATTGGTTTATGCCAGTAGCAATCATGTTAGTAACTTTCTATAAAAAGATTTATTTATTTATTATGTACACAGTGTTCTGTCTGCATGTATGTCTGCACACCAGAAGAGGGCACCATGTGGTTACTGGGAATTGAACTCAGGACCTCTGGAAGAGCAACCAGTGTTCTTAACCTGTGAGCCATCTCTCCAGCCCATCATGTTAGTAACTTTTAATTGGCTAAGGTTAGTTGGGGGTTACAGTTATCCATTTCAGGGCAAGCCTGACAAGTCCCAGGCTCTGTCCTTGAGCTGCCATGGGGTCTGGCTGGCCTAGCACGTAACTGACTGTGGAGGCTGACTCAGTGGCCCAGGCTGTCACATTGACCCATGCATGTAGCTCTAAGTTGGTGGGGGTCCCAGAGAGTAAACAACTGGCTGAACCTTGAACAATCAGAGCATGTGAAGAAAGGGAGCTCCTGCAAGGACTATGTCTTTGTTCATGGCCCTCCCAGAAACTGCTGCTCAAGTCTCAGGAAACTGAAATTGAGGCCTGATCTCTGAGAAGACTGAGCAGCCTGGTATGGCGTCTGCTGGGTCCTGTCACTTCCATTTTCAAATCAGCTGCCTTCCATTAGTGCCCTGCATTCCCTTTTGCCAAGTAACCTGACAGCTCACAGGGTCTGAGGATGGAATATGCTATCTTTGGGGGATCGTTCTTTGGTTCACTGTGATAAATGTTCACCCTTCTCAAAGCCCTTTTATAGACTCATCTGGCCCTTTAGGGTCTGTGAGGTAGGTGAGTAAGAATATGGCTTTAATGGAGAAGGCGGTTGGGGTAAGAGTCATTATATGTGTGTGTGTGTGTGTGTGTGTGTGTGTGTGTGTGTGTGTGTGTGTGTGTATAAAAATATATATAATCAACCTGAGCTACTTTGAAATAGATGGTAGAACATACTCGAGATGCAGGCCATGGTGTTCAATTTAGTTCAAGGCTGTGGGTAATAGGAATTCCATGTTCCCCGCTCCTTCTCACACATGTCCTTCCACAGGCCTGATCACATCTATCCCTTTCTCCTTGTCTTAATAAAGCTCTTGTTAGTGGATTTTGTTGTGTTTTGTGACTTTTCCTCGCAGGGTAAGAACGCCACTAGAAACCATCATTGGTGCATGCACAACATCCAATCTTAAGTGCTTTGTGCCTGGGAACCTGTACCAGGGGCGTCTGCTCCATCCACGACAGCCCACTGTCCATTTGCCTGGCCGCAGGATCCTGCACACATCACTGGCTACTTCGATTGGTGAGTCCCCCACTTTTCAGCCAGCGTAAATGGTCTCCTGGATCCGTGGGGATGACCATTGAGTGTCTGGCACCCTACTGGTGTCCCTGAGACTGGGGGTACCCCCTGACCACGGTCTTCACTGGCTAGAGTTGGTCCCTATTGCAGGCTAAAATTTGTAGCCATCTCCCACATCTGCAGTTTGAGATATAATTCTCGCGGTCAGACCCCTGTCTTCGGGTGTGTCTTCAGGCTGTGTAAGGCTGACACATTTTTCTGGCTTGATAGACCTTACCAGTCAGTGATGGGCACCTTGTATTCAGGCTTTAGCAGCCAATGAACTTCTTATTTGGGAATCAAAGAAGCTAAACTTTGGGTCACCTATTACTGTTTTCTCTCACTATAACCCGTCCCATCTCTTAACTTACAAAGGCTTACAAACTTTACCTCCTTCCCAGGTTCTTCCTCTCCAGGTGGCATTACTAGAAGATGCTACACTTACTTTCCAGACCTGTCCACCCCTTAATATTTCAAGCCTCCTCCCTCAACCTAATGCTGACTATTCTCCTTCTCATTTCTGCACTGAAACCTTGGAGGAACTGTTACCTCACCCTTCACACATACAGGAGGGCACATTGCCTCAGGCTACTTATACCTGGTACACAGATGGCAGCTCCTTTTTACACGAGGGCATCTGTAAAGCAGGCTACACCATAGTGTCAGATACTGAGGTAACAGAGGCACAGGCATTACCCACACACACCACTAACCAACAGGCTGAGCGATAGCTCTCACCCATGCCTTCCAATTGGTACAGGGACAATCTCTAAATGTTTACACAGACTCCAAATATGTTTTTTATATCCTCCTGTCCCACGCTGCTATTTGGAGGGAGCGTGGCCTCCTCACAGCAAAAAGGTGATCCTTATCTAACTTAGGCCAAATAATGGCCATGCTAAAGGCTTCCCACCTCCCCAAGGCTATAGGAATTGTCCTCATCAGACAGATAGCTCCATCATCTCTAAGAGAAATGACTGAGCTGGCCAGGCAGTTTGGACAGCAGCCCTCCAGGGCCAAGTCTCACCTCACCCACTGCAGGGAATCCATACAGTACAGCTCACACCCTCACAGGGAACCCCTGACATTAGGCAAATTCTTTCCTGTCTACATCAGCTCTTTCACCCTAATAGTCATGTTCTGTCTCAATTCGTAATTCTGCCCAACTGCAGCCCACCTCTGAGGACTTACAGTTCTTAAGAACTATTACTGCCTCTTGTGAGATCTGCCAAAAACAGATCCCAATACCAAGTACAGAAGTCAGCTTTTTCCCACCCACTAGGCTAGTTCCCTTCCAGGGGCTGACTGGCAGCTCGATTTTACCCATATGCCCACTGTCAGGAAAGTTAAACGTCTCCTTGTGATGGTGGACTCATTTTCAAATTGGGTGGAGGTATACCCTGTTTCTAATAAGTGGGCTCAGACAGTTGCAGATCTCCTTCTCCAAGAAATTATTCCTCGGGTTGGGACTCCTGCTTCCCCTGCCGTGTCACCTAAGGTCTGTCCTGTGGAACTGCAGACCATTCCTTACCTCAGCCATGTGACAGTCCTTGCCCACCCCCAATCCACATCGGGGATCAGGTTCTTCTTTCCCCTCCAGGTCAGCACCCTTCACTCCTTTCCCCTAAGTGGCAGGGACCCTTCAAGGTAATTCTTATAACCCCCACAGCTGCTAAACTCAAGGGCTTTCCTCACCGGATCTACCTGTCTCATCTGAAACCTTTCCAAGAAAATCTCTCTTCATATACAGCGACACAGACAGGGCCCTGTTCTCTTAAGCTCCAGAGGACATTAGGATCCACTGCCTTGTCACCAATTCCAGAGGAACGAGGTATCACCCAATAAGCTCTTCCTTTTCTAATTAGGGCCACCACAGAGACAGAGGCAAAAGGACCATTAGACATATCCAGGTGGTAAGGAAAAAAACAGTAATAATCAAAAGGTATTTACACTCCCAGACCCAAAAGTGTCTGGACTCTGCAAAAACAGACTCTAATGCAACAGTCTATCACTGTTAAATGCTCTCAGCAATTGATCGCCTGTGTCTCCTGAATGCCAAACTAATAAAGGAAACAGGTACCTTAAACTACCTCGAATAAAGCTTATCTCAGGTAAAAATTAAGCAGAGTACTAAACACCACAATGGTCACTAATTTTCTCATGGCTGCTTCTTAACATGTTCAAAAATTTTCCCAAGCTCCAGAAACCAGCTTAAATCCATCTGGATAGGTCAGATCTACTTCAGATAAGTGCCAGACACAAACTTCCCTGGTATGGAAACACTCCAAAGAAAATAAAAATAATAATGATTCTTTT